AGTTCACTCAAGTCACTGAGTTGGGGAAAGTCTCTAAAGTAACAAATGAATAATAAAGGGCCTAAGATGGACCCCTGAGGCACTCCAAATTTCACATCTCTAATAGAGGATCGGTAATGAATTTTATAGTTTTTGTTGTTTTGGTGAATTATTTCTACAAACTGTTTTCTGTTGGAAAGGTAAGACTTAAGTAACTTTAATGCATTGTTCTTTATCCCTAATTTGCTTAGCTTTGAAAGTAAAAGGTCGTGTGATATTGAATCAAAGGCTTTACTTAAATCCATAAATAATCCTACTACTTTTAATTTACTGTGCAAACTATCAATAATAGATTCAACAAACTTTGTGGCAGCTGTTATTACAGATCTACCACTGTGGAAACCATGTTGACATCCTTTAAAAAGGCAATTCTTTTCAAAAAATTTACTAGTTGATTAGAGATTACTTTTTCATAAATTTTAGAAATAGCGGGAAACAGTGCTATTGGTCTGTAGTTTGAAACTAAGTACTTGTCCCCTTTTTTGAAAAGCGGTTTTAATTTTGCTACGTTAAGTTTTATCAGGAAAAATACCAGAATCTAATGAAGAGTTAATGATGTGAGTGATTGGTTTAAGTAATACGAATCTTGCTTTTTTTAGGAGTACCACTTACCATCATATCCTGTACTAAAAGAATTTTTTAGGTGGTTTAAAATGTAATCAATTTCCTTCTCATCAACAAAGCTAAATTTAAAATTGTTAGTACTAATTAACAACAAATCATATTCTGAACTATTTTCTGTCTCAACTTGAGTTTGCTCCATTCTGCATATTGAAGTATCCTCAATTAAATCTGCAAAATAATTATTAAATTGGTTACAAACCAGAGAAGGCTCAGTACATACAATGTCATTTGATTTTAAAATTATGTTTTGTATATCTTTTGCTTTATTTCCTACTTCTGAGTTGATAATCTTCCAAGTGGTTTTATTTACATTATTTGAATTATTAATAACAGATTTATAGTAATTTTTCTTTGCAGTGTATAATTGTTTTCTGAAATTTTTGTTCATTTCCCTAGTTTTTTAACCATTTTTTTACAATTAACTTCTCTAGCCAATTTTCTGAAATTAGTTATATTTTGTTTTTCTAACTTCAATTCATTAGAGATCCATTTTTTGTTAGTATGTTGTCTTATCAAAGTCTCAGGAAAACAATTATCAAAATGATACATAAAAATGTGATGAAATGTATCGTACTTTCTTTCAACCGGTGATGAGTAAAGGTTTGCCCATGATTCAAATTCCAGTGCCCTAATAAATTGATTAATATTTGCATCGCTGAATTTCCTCTTATACTCAAAATGGACCTTTGAACCAATATTTAATTTGGAAGTTTCACTATTATTGATAATTTCAAGAATTTGACCATCATGGTCTGAGAGTTGAGTGTTGATTCCTATGACTCTGTAATAATTGCTTTCTAAATATATTATCTATTGCGGTTTGAGTTGATTCAGTGATTCTAGTGGGGAAATCAATTAATGACTTAAATCCATTAGCTTTTACAATATGCAATAATCTATTTCTATTATTGTAACTTTTATCCAACATATCAATATTTATATTTATATCACCAACAAAAATTACATGTTTAAATTTTGAACTTAGAATTTCAAGCATGGTATTTAATCTTTCAATAAATTCTGATTCGTTTTGTTTTATGGGATTTCTATAACAGCCAATTATAAGTAACTTTTTTTTTAACAAAACTTTTTGAATCTCTACTAAACAAATTTTAAAAATTGTTTCTGAAATAAGATTTTGAATTTCGGGTATTAATATCTCTTTGCAGTTAAGGTACGGCTTTGTTAAAACAATGACCCCACCCCCCCCCTTACTTTTTTTACGGCCAAACAAGCACTAACATTGTACCCATTAACATTGAGTCTCTCCAACGATGGACTCACCATTTTGTGGTCCGACAATACAACAATACTAGGGTTCAACTCATCTAGAGTGATCTCCAATGAATCAAGTGAAGACTGGATTCCTCTAATGTTTTGATGTAAAATACTAAAATTATTCACTTTACCTATTTTATTATTACTTTTTCCTGACTTAAAGCTAAAAAAGGGTTTTCTGGTCTTTGAGCTTCATTTTCTTTGTGAATTTCACTTGACACTGCACTATTCCCCGAATTGACTTTATTACCCCCCTTGTCACACACTTTTGGAGATCTGGGAGACTTTGGAGCAGGCTGCAGGTCACGGCTGCTGTTGGAAGTTGCAGGATCACCATTGTTGCCATCAGGTTGAGGAAAGGCTGGAACTTGTGGAAATAGAAATGACTTTTCTGAGCTGCTTTGCTGGGTAGGTGGAGTCCTAGTTGCTTCCAATTTTATGGCATCTACTATTCGTGTCCGAAATTCAGGGAATGATAAACCATTTCTAAGATTATTTTTTGACATTTCATTATGAATTACAATTTTAACAAAGGCACCAGTACTGCGCTGGAACATAGTTATTTCTGCTGCAAAGTGACGTGGAAGTATACGGTCCCTAACACAGCCGAGTGGGGAGCAAATGAAAGTGTGGAAATCTCTTTTTTTTAAACTATCAGTTAGATTTTCAAAAGCCAAATTATAAATTTCAGGATAGGGTTTATTGTAGTATCGGGGCTTAGTTACTAGACTGTAAATTACTGCTTTATTTTGTTGTTCTTGGCATGTTAAATATTTATTGCAATAATCAGAACTTGTCGGTTTTCCATACATGTCCTTAAAGCTGACTGCCACACCTTGACTCATTTGTTGATTGCAGGTGAAATCGGCAGAAATGCAGTGTCCGAAAGCAACTTTATCATTAGTTTTGTAAATATTAATTACATCTTTCATATTGGCATCAATTATAGAAATTTTATCAGTAATATTGTATTGATTTAGCTGGTCTTCTGTAAAAATGGAAAGAGGCGTTTCTTTGATATCCGGGACAGGAGTATAATCGGTATTTGAAGTTCGATGGCTGAGCGTTGAGGGTCCATTTTGTCACAGAACTAATAATCATGTGGGCTACCTTTTTTCTACCATTGTTTCTCAGGTGGAGGCCATTTCTGGTGTAGTGAAAACGTTTTAGGTCACTCAGGTCTATTAAATATGTGTTTTCAATTCTTGATACCAGTTCTCTTATATAACAATTAGCATGGATTAAATCTGAGGTGGTTTTGTCATAAGATGGTTTATCATACCTGGTAGGAATTGTAGTGATGAATGTTGGTCGTAGTTTGCTTAAATGTTTTAATTTTGATTCTAGTTTCGAGTAAATATTATTTAAGCTAGAATCAAGGCTGTCATTAGTTCCCCCAATGATTAAAACTGGAGTTTTTTCCTCAATTGTGGTGGAGTCAACAACTAGCAACAAAGTTGCATTTGCTCTGACATAACCAAAGGCACAGATATTACCCCAACTAAAAGATTCAACCTTGCTAGCAATACTGCTACCTTGACTATCTGAACAGACAGTTATTTTTATTCTTTGATTAGAAACATTTGTTAATTTATAGTTTATTTGTTTCTTTTTACTTGTAGGTCTTGAGTTAGTCCTTTTGTCGTAACTTGAGCGCTTGTAGTTCTTTTCAGCATCCTCACAGTTGTTATTCATAACAAGGGAGTCCTGGTGCGTGGAATTGTCTTGAAAGATACTGAATCTGTTTTGTGTTGGAATAACTGGTTCAATGGACTGATGACACTCTCTTTTTGAAGCTGAATTTGACATTTTCCAAGAATAGTCAGGATGAGTAATCGAGTTTACTTTCACTGGTATTTCATTAGATTGAGTAGATGTAGCCTTATTGCCAACGGAAGGGTAGAAAACAGTTTTGCCAATTTTTTATTATCATTACAGAATAAAAAGTGTCATCATTGAAATTTGGATCATTATAAAGAAATCATCATATCATCATATAACTGTATTTAATAAGAATCTGTTACATAATCATATTGTAATAACCTATAACATTATAATTAAAATTGGATTTGTAGTGGTAGTCTGTATTAGGTATGCATTTGATTGTGGCGAAACCCCAAGTAGCCTATTATACGTAGTTTGGAGGCCGTGTTTTACATTTTAAACCATATGTATTTGTAATAATTTTTTTTTTTTCTTATAAGAAAATGCATCTGGTTAATATTTAGCCGAGTAATTAAGTAATTACACTATTATTTATCAACAATCCATATGATTTTCGAAGAAAATAGCTGTATAATGTAGATTTTGTTAAACTTATTATTGTTATGACTTTTTTATTAGTTAAGATACAACTTTTTACCCTATAACCTTTTCTATTGGGATTAAAACTAACCGATGTCCCATCTCGTACCGTTATCGATCTACAGTCGTTTCAATGCATAGCGCATTCCGCCATCTTTGCCCCCCCCCTCCCCCCAAGTTCTTGACCACCTGAAAAGTAGGTGACATGCATATTTTTTATCACCACAGTCCATATTACAACTATCAGCATAGATATTTGATATTACTTCTTTGCGACACCCACAAATTAATTCTACTTTCGGTAAACAAAACTACACAAAAAGTCCATTTTTACATATTTTATACAATAACTTGTTTATTTATGGAGATACGACCTCATAGTAACCATTATTGGACCCAATAACCATTATTGAAGTCCACATTTTTAGAATTACAATGACGTTTTAACAGATGTTCTATATTTTACCGTTTTCGAAATATCAGCGGTTTAACGCATAGCGCAAACCGCTATGTTTGCCCCCTCCCCCTACCTTATTGACCACTTTTGAAATGGGCGACATACGTAATTTTGATCACCACAGTCCGTATTAAAATAATCAGCAATAACATTGCGTTCTACTTTCATGCATGCTCAAACCCCCTCAGCTCCTGGACTAAGACCTACGTAGGCCTACTTGAGTTGAAGCTGCAGTAATTATGGCAAGTAAGTTTTCAATTACTTTGCCTCATAACTTAGTTTAAAATTTTTGTTTCAGAACTCCAACCAAAATGCTTTATTTGGAAGACTATCTTGAAAGTAAGTACTGTAGACCTAATTTATAAATCTTTAAAATGCTTGATTTAAAATGATTTGATTTTATCATATAGGCATATATAAAGATAGTACATTCCAAATTTGTCTTTGCTATACACTTTCGTGGATTAAGCAGTTGTCTCAATACACTGAGTGTTTCCAAAAAATTCATTAAAACTGTACAAATGTTTAACAATAATAAATGACTAATAAAGGACCCAAAATCAGTTATACATTTTATGTTTTCTGGTAATGAATTATAAAATTTGATGCCTGACAATGTTGGCTTCTTCTCCTAAAACGTTAGCTTATGTCTATTAAAACAAAAATTATTCTTATTCCTAGTTTCATATCTGTGGTTAAAACCTAGCATACAAAGACCATTTTGATTTTTTTTTTTCACGGAATCAGATCATAGATTAATTGGCTGTAAACTGTCATTATTCTTAAATTTGAAAAATGTTCTCTGGCTGACTAAAACCACTCAAGTTTCAATGATATGAAAGTATTAACCGTATTTAAAAAACCACTTTCCCTCAATCCTATGAGCTCCAATGCCAGAAATCTTAAGCCATTCAAGTTAAATTACCGTACATATCAGTCATATCACACTGCATTACAAATTGTCAAGTTATTTTTTAATGCCGGTGATTTGTTAGTAATAATTCTGATATTTAGGTAACAACAGTTGCTGGTTTAATGAATTGTTTTTTTTTTTTTTTTATAGTGATTGAACACTTGCCTCAAGAACTTCGTGATAGATTTACCGACATGAGGGAGATGGATCTTCAAGTACAAAGTAAGAGATTATACAAATTTAATTAATTTGTTGTGCTTTTATATTATATTTTTAAGCCAGGGATGTACCTATTTAACTATCTGCCGCCTTTAGGCAGGGAAGTTAGCCGCCCCCCTCCCCCCACCACTCGTCAGCGCGCTCCCCGACCTCACTAAGATTACCCCAATACATGCCATGTCATGTCAGCTGATTTTGTAGAAAAGTAATCGGCAATTGCATGTTGCATCAACAAATCAAATAACATTTTGAGCCCTTTTTACAGTTGTTTGTTGATTTGCCGTTTTCATGCAAAAAGAGATTCTGTTTAGGATACATGGAATGCAATGTTGTTGTATCCAATCAGAAGGGTCATAATCGTTTTGCGGCACGAAAACGGCAAACAAACACGTCTGTATACAAGGGTTCTTATAATGCTTTTCATTGAACACTTTTAGTCAGATATACAATCACAAATACTTTTATTTACAAAACTGTTTTATTTTAAAACTGAATGAATCAAAACAAAAAAGTAAGTGGATATGACTAAAAGTGTTTAATGAAAAGTGTTATAAGCATTTACAGGATGAATCAGACCACCCGTGCACAACAGTTGTGCCCAACAAGTGTTAAAAAACTACATTTTTATTGAAAATCTGCCATTTAAAATTTGTGTTGTGTTAAAATTTTAAAATGTCACTTGAGGCACTTTTCCTTTAATGTTGGGATCATTAAAAGTAGGCTACAATTATATGTCCGAAAAGTACTTAATTTTATAAATTAAAAAGACGTTGAAAATCCAAGACATTTTACAAATTTTTGAAGTAGGGTGTTTTTTGAAGGTGAAGGAGTGTGATTTTTTTAAACGTCTAATAGTGTTGATTTCAAGCTATAGCCGTTAAAACAACATGTTTTTCTCCAAAAATTGGAATTTAAGGAATTTTTTGGGGAGGTTTTAATTTGTAAATGTTTTTTATCTGGGTGGTTGGGACCGAGACGGAACCCCACAAAAGATCTCAGATCCCTAGCTATTCTAGAAGTGGGTAAAAATTTGTATACCTGGTCAGTGAGTTACACAAGCGGCTGTAACTTATATCCCATTAAAGAATGTGCACGGGTGATTCACCCTGCATATCTATGAAAGATCCTACTATGAAGAATAACATACTGAAGTCCATGGAGTTCAGCAGTTCTCCTTCAATATTCAAGACTGCTAGTTACCAAAGTATTTTTTCAGAATATCGGTTTCTTAAATAATTTGTTGCCCTTTCAAGGCATGGAAATGATCTTTCAGGTGAGTAGTTTAGTTATTGTTAGTTTTGTATAGTTTTTTATAGTTTTGTGAGCTTGAAAGATCCTTAATGCTATTTATAAATTTGGAAAAACTGATTGAAGATCTTCTTCTCTAATTTCTTTCAAAATCCTTAGCCGAGTGATTTTTTTAGGTTTTTCACTTGGACATTTGGCTTTAAGTTTGAGTTTAATATCAGTTTTTGTGCTATATTTTAAGATCATCTTAGCTAGGGTTTTCTTTATTTTCCAAGTCTTGCCTTGACACTTTTGATATGGGATGTAAAGTGTACAAGCTCATCAAAGAAGCTATATTCAACATCTGATAAGTGATGAGATCGATCACCAGCTTTTCTTCGCTTACATCAGTATTTCCATTACAGATGTCATACACGCTGCCGCTGCGTAGTAACGAACGATAGTTGGGGGAGGATTTGAGGTAGGCCTACACTACGTGTACGCAGCAGCTGGCAGCCCACGCCCGCAACGTGTCCGCCAGACCATAAGCGCGCACCTAGTCCACCCATTCGGAAATATGGCCCTGTTTTAAGCACTAACAGTAAACAACACAACAACCTTGTGGTTTTTATACACCACAATCAGCCAAATTAATGTTCCATAAATTGGTGTAATGTAGCTGTTATGCATACTGCATGGTATATACTTGTTATATACTAAATACCCCCGCCGCAGCAAACCTGCAGACTAAGCGAATTTCCATTTGCCTGATTGGATTTACACTAAAATGTCTCCTTAAAAATATCACATTTATTCCCTATTTAAATAGAATCAGTTTAACACATACTTAGGTTTGCTGCAACAGGGAGGGTAAAAGTGTTTTTTATGTAAAATGTTAATAGTTAGTAAGAAATAAAAACATTTTCCAAATTTGGGCAAAAAATGTTAATAAACAAGCAAACTACAACAGTTGACTTATTCTCCATAAGAATAACATGGGAATTTTAAATTTACAATTTTTTGAAATTTTCTCCGTAACCATTATGTGCATTATAACGCTTCAATATACTAAATTATTTGTTTTTTTAAGCTCTACAAAATAGTTCGGAAAGAAATTGCAAAATTTTATGTTTTTTGAGTCAAAAGTGGGAAAAACCCATTTTTACCCCATAAAACCCCCCATAAACCCCCGTTCCCATGGTCCGATCATGCTGGTTCGCGAACTCGTTCGAATAAACGTAGGTTTACACGTTTGTACCAAATTTCATCAAAATCGGATCGTTTTTGCTCGAGTTATCGCGCTAACGGACACATATATAAATATATATATATATATATATATATATATATAAATATATATATATATATGAATTTGAACGGATGGTGTTTTTGGCCTCTAGGGACCTCAAAACGAAAAAAAAAATCGGTCCCGGGTCCAGGTCTTACCATGAGTACTACGGTAATAGCTTATTCCCTATATGGGAAATTCGCTAAATATTCCCTATATGGGAAATTCGCTAAAAAAAACTCATTTATTAATGCACTCCGTCCTTTCCCTTCCAGATACTATGGATACTTTGGAAAAACGTGTAAAGACATTTTTTTCCAATGCAAAGAAAATGGAGGCTCAAGAGAAGGAACAGGAATATGAAGCAATACGGAAAGATTATTACAAAACGTTGGAGGATGCAGGTTTGTTAATAATTTTTCTTTTTAATTAATTATTGGTCGATTACAAAGAAGAGTCAAAATGTTCCTGGATTGTTAAGACACTAAGCTTAGTTGATAATGAGAAAATTATTTTTCTTACATTTACCTGTCAAAGCAGGCTACCAATTGCTGAATTTATTGCCGCACTCCGTTATTCCAACCAAACAATACAAAACAGTGTGCTTATATAAGGCACATAATATGTCTACGATTGAAAATAAGTTTGTCACAATTAAAGATACTACGACTACGATCATCTGGTGCAGTGTTTCACAGCCTTTGATAATACGACTTAAACTATTGTTTTGTGTTACCATTCTATTTTCGTTCCACTCTTGGATTTAACCTTTAACCCAAACGTGCAGTTTAGTGTTTGGAAGACTAATAATTATTTATATGCTTTATAGTAACTGTAGGAAAAATATAATGTGTAACGCGAGCGTGTTACTTTCTACCTCTCATGTGCAGCAAAAAATAACTAGGCCTATTTATGGATTTTTGTGAGAAAATAAAGCTTTCCTAATAGGAAGGAAGCTTCACTCTGGTGTAAGAAAAAAAAAGCTGTCAACAATAAACAACAATTATAGAATATTTCACTTTCACTGACGGCATTTTAAACCAATGAAATTTTATTTTGTTGGAGTTAACCGAGAAAACTATTTGGTTGTAGTTAAATACACTCCTATTGGATTCAGTATTGAGAGTATTGCTCATTTAAAGTAACCTTATGCATTCATGAATTAAAAGTTTTGTTGTCACTTTAATTCTGTAAGATTTATTTACAACTTGAGAATGTGTTCTAAAATTAAATATCACAAAATCCAGTAGCCTAGATTAGCTTTCAGTGAAATCTATACAATCAATGTTGAACTATCGTCGGTTATCGTCAACTCGCCATCACCCAGTTGTAGCTGCCCGGTCTCCATCCCTAAAGCACGGGTCACACTGGGCTGCTCGCCAGCCGCTGGTGATCAGCAACTAGCACCATCATCAGCAAGCAGCGGCTTTTGCACGGGTCACACTAGGCTGCTTGTCAGCCGCTGGTGATCGTGATATTAACAATGTGTGAGAAGGAACAGCTGTGAGGTTTTGCAACAAATCACTGTATTACTTCTTTAAAGAAACGTCCCACAAGCACGTATAGTTTTGGAATAAATTTAAGAAATCAATAACCTGCTTCGCCGACCACCTAAGCTCAGTAATTTCTATGCTACAAATACTACTTTTAATCGCCTAGTTTAAAGCTCAGTTCTTGTCGCCATTTCATCCTTTTTTGGGTCCTCATAAACCAGGAGTTAATATTGAGGATGTGTGTGAAAGAGAAATAATTTTATTATAAGATGCTTAACCGCACCCGCAAGAAGAGACGTTAGTGGACAAGGCCTTGGATACAAATAATTTATAAATAAAAATACTTTTTAAAAATACCTCGTTTTTAAACGCACTATAAGATGAATCAGAAACATACAAAAATGTTTTACGAATGTCACCACATACATTCCGGGAATTACTAGAATTAGCTAAACCTCTAATAAAAAAATTGAGACGGTTGCTTTTGTCCTTTTGTGTTAAACCAAGTTGGAAATTATCTTTGGTCAGCTCTGGCACGCTTCTAGAGGTGGTCAGACTACGCTGCTCGCTGGCGTCAGCGAGTGAGAGTGGTCACGTGACCTCTAGTCGCCGCTGCCTTGCTACCAAAAGTTGAACATGTCCAACTTCGCCAGCCGCTGACAAATACTCACCGGCTGGCGGTGCCAGCTGGGAATTTTGCGGTCACACTAAGCTGACAGTAGCGGCTTCTTTCAATTCGCCCCTGATGCCAGCCTAGTGTGACCCATGCTTAACGCCTTTGATTTATGGTTGTGGGGCTACTTGAAGAGCAAGGTTTTCACAACGAAACCCCAAACTATTACAAACGTTGCTTAGATATCACACATAATTTATTTTTTATGCCACTTCCATTAGAAAAGTTGAATAGTTTAAACAACTTATACAGTAGAGTCCCGCAAACTCGGCTCTCGATAACCCGGCAGTCTGGATAACTCGGCCATCACTTGGCTCAGAAAATTAGTGATTTTTTTGAGTCCGAGTTAAAAATGGACTCAAGCCAAATAATTTGCAACTCATACCAAGGATTTGTTGTACTATATCTGATGACTTAATACTGACTTGTACTATAAACATAAATAAGAAAGGCGGTTAAAAAGCTTAAAAATTGTATTTTTCTTATTTTTAACCCTAGTTCCTGTTAACACGGCATTTCACAAACTCGGCACCCCTCCAGTCCACATTACGGCGAGTTTGCGGGACTCTACTGTAATTACAAAAAATGTTATTAATTAAAGAACCAAACAACACAAATATCATCTCTCTAATCCATGAATTAGCTGAGCTGTCACAAAGCAAAATGTTAGCAGTTTTTATGGATCTCCCGTTATACGCTATTCCGTAGTTATAGCGGGAAATATGTCACCAACTATCGCTCAAGTCTAATTAGTTTTTATCTAATTTATCAGTAAAACAATTACCAATAAATAAAAGTGAAACCTTTAAGAAAATGTTTTAAAAGGACCGTTGTTTATAACATGTTGGTTTAAGGACAATATACCATCAAATAATAAAACAATACCTCCAATTGTCTTCACAATATCCTCCTTCGATGTATTTCCAAATGATATACCAGGCTATAGCTTACGTCGTAAAACTTATTATTACTAAAACTGTTTCATAACCCATGGCTTAGTTTTGTTTTATTACAGATTAATTGGAAATAAATGTTAGGTAATTTAAACAAAATCACAAAACCCCCTTTAACCATCCTGTACTATAAAGGTTCAGCAATGTTTTTTCAGCACTTTTACTCTTGAAGAGTTAACATATATGTGCAAAGGAAAGTTAACTTTTAAAATCTTCATATATTTACCATTATTAAAGTGTAGATGTTTTGATGACAAATAAATAAACAGCTCTGACCTCATAATCAAGGCCGTAATGTTCATTCCACTTTAAACCAGTATATACAGGGTGGAGCGCGGTAATTTGCTTATTTGGGAGTGGAATAAAAAAATTATGAACATGTAGAAACTTAATTTTATATTTCACTTACATTGAACAGTAATGGAATTTACAAATTATTTTGTTTTAAATATTATATCTGGCAAATGTTGACCTTCCCGATCCACACACTGCTGCATACGTTTTCTGAAGTTCTCATGCACTTTTTCAAGCATGTCGACTGGTATTCTGGCAATCTCAGCAGCAATATTGTTCCTTAGGTCTTCCAGGGTTTTGGGACGGTTGCAATACACCTTGGACTTCAGGTAACCCCAAAGGAAAAAATCGCATGGAGCTAAGTCTGGTGAGCGTGCCGGCCAGTTCAGATCACCATTGCGAGAGATGAGCCGTTCAGGAAACATTTGCCTCAAAAGATCAATGGTAACTCTCGCTGTATGTGCAGTGGCACCATCTTGTTGAAACCATGTATCCTCTAATTGCATTGCCTCAAGTGCTGGATGGAAAAAATCCTGCAGCATAGTTAGGTAACGTTCGGCATTCACAGTTGCCGGAAAAAAGTAAGGGCCAATGATGCCTACTCGTGATAAGGCGCACCACACAGTGACGCGGTCCGAATGCAGAGGTCTCTGATGAACTTCTCTGGGGTTTGTGTCACTCCAGTACCGCATGTTTTGCTTGTTTACACACCCACTGAGATGAAAATGTGCCTCATCAGAAAAGAACACAATTGCGTCACGAGGTATGGTTGCAAGCATGTCTTCACAAGATGTTCGTCGTGTCAAATAATCCCGTGCTGACAATTGTTGGACCACACACATTTTATATGGGTGGAAATGCAGTTCACTATGGAGAATCCGGTGGAGAGAACGCCTTGAAATGCCAAGAGCAAGTGCTTGCTTCCGAGCAGAGCGTTTCGGAGATTGCAATACTGCTGCTCTAACTCGTTCGATATTTTGTGGTGTTGTAACACTCCTCGCAGGTCCTCTTCGTACAGATGACACATTCCCTGCTGTCCTGAATGCATTCACCCAATTCACAACTGATTGCCGTCCAGGAACACGTCCGCGTGGGGAAACAGCGAAACGCAAACGGAAAGCACGTTGCACTGCAATTATCGAGTAGTTATTTGAAAAATATGCTTCAACACAAAATGAACGCTCCTCACGTGTCCACTCCATGATGGCAACTCAAAATGAGCTGAAGACAAACTTCCGGTCAGTCACAACAATCATCGCCCACTTCCGCCTCTTTTTGACTAACAGTGCTGCCAACCACCTGCAACTCAAAATAGCAATTTCCCGCGCTCCACCCTGTATAAAATAGGTCATATTACACCAAAAACATGTCCCAAGTTCCAGTGCTGGTAAAGAACATGTCAAAATAAATTAGATAAATTAATCTAGAAAAATATACGGTGCGTAACAATTCATTATCATTGCCAATAGCGTAGATGAACTTATCTAGTAAATGTTTTAATGGTGCACTATCATTTAATGACTAGAAAGGTATTGTTTCCACATAAATGATAAATATTTCATCCAGTATTAAAAGTTGTGTGAGTTTTGACTGATGAGAAAAATCTGTGAACGTGTTTTAAAGTGTTGTTTGTTATCATGTTCTTGACTTTGTGTTGAATCACCATTGTTAAAGACTAAGGTTTATTGACTAATGCAAAGGTAGGAGGTTTACCTCAAAAATATGCTTCATTATGAATTTGACCAAATATAATGTTACTGCTAAAGTGCTAAAATTATTTTGTACCTACTTTGTTAAACAAATAACTTCTTACTGACTTTATCCTTGTGTATCTACTTTCACAGGAACTCCCACACAAAGATGAATTATGCTTCTGATGTTATGTGACCTTTTTTGTGCCACCAGAATTCCGAACAATAACTTTCTCAGGTCAGCAAGCAGTAATCTCCCTTTTATAATAAACTCCAATGCTGGTCATTTTATTATATTTCCTCCAACTAAATAGAGTAAATGAAAAATTTTAAGATGTTTAAAAATAAATAAGCAAATAGCAAAACTATTAAAAAGATGGTTTTAGTGTTTATTAAACCTGGGAATACTTGTGATTTTAGATGAAAAAGTTCAACTGGCAAATCACATGCACGACTTGGTGTCCCGGTATTTACGCCGACTGGAACAAGAAACTCACAAGTTCAAAATGGAACTTGAAGCCGATAACATGGGCATTACTGAGATTTTGGAAAAACGTAAGGAATACCATTTTTAGTTAATTGTTCACTATTCCTAATTTTATTTATGTTAAATTGTTGATTTTGTTTAGTCAGTCAGTATAATTTTCAGCATATTAATTGCTGTCACGATTAATGATTATATAAAAAAGGATAACTTTACCCAATTGTGTTTTGGCAGAACGAGTAACTTTAACCACTGATTATCTTTGCTTTAAATGAAGATCACAAACTAAACGTTTAACTTGACTGGAAGAGACATTTTGTCTAAATATATTGAGGTTATTGCTACAAAGCCAAACCTTTTTATCCAACCCAAGTTAACACTGCTTCATCTGGTTTTGGGGTTAGGCTGTCCATAATCTTAATTGTTTGTAAATGGTAATTGTTCACTACATGACTCATCGGTTATTAGCCCCACAGTCAAGATACTGAGCTGGGTCTTGTCCCCACTTTAATTTCCAGAAGCTGCACCTAGCTACATCGGTGTAAATTAGATTATAAACAGTTTTAACAAATGTAAGTGCACCTCAGTTTAACTTGTCAAATTTTTTTCCACTCGAGATTTTGATCCCGAGGTTTCCGATTAAGAGGATGTTTACCGTAGCCTATATAAATTATAATCGTTATTAACAAAATTAAACTGTATATTGTTTCTCCACAGGTTCACAAGAACTGGATCTTCCTCCCAGTAACAGCTGCCAAAAAGAGAATCGATACTCCTTCACCTCACACAAGTCTTGCATGTCGAGTGGTAAGGATAAAATAGTAATTAAACATGTAATTATGACACACATTGGCTACAACTAAAAAATAAATACTCCTTCCACAGAAAATCTGCAGACCAAGCGAGTTTCCATCTGCCTGATTCGATTTTCATTAAAATATTTCTTAAACAGTTCAGATTTATTCCCTATTTAAATTACATAGGTTTTAACGATTATTTAGGTTTGCTGCTACAGGGAGGTGTGGGTTTATTTTTTAAAATGTTCATCGCTTAGCATAAAATAATTGAATTTGACAAGTTTGGAAAAATATATTCATAAACATGCAAACTACAATAGTTTACTAATTCGCCATAAGAATCACGTGGTACTTATAAATTTACAATTTTTGAATATTCTCTGTAACCAATAACCATACAAACATCCTTCTGGATACTAAATTATTTGTCGTTTTAAGGTTTTCAAAGTGGTTTTAGAGAGAAATTGAAGAAATTGAGAATCCTATTTCTGAGAATCAAAAATAAGAAAAACCAATTTTTACTCCATAAAACTCCCCATTCCCATAGTCTGGTCATACTGGTCCAAAAACTCATTCAAATAAGCGTAGGTTTACTCGTTTATACTAAATTGAATCAAAATCGGATGATTTTTACTCTAGTTATCATGCTAACTATAATATATATGAATTTGAATGAATGGTGTTTTTGGCCACTGGGGACATCAAAACAAAAATTGAAATCGGTCCTGGGTCCAGGTCTTACAATGAGACCTACGGTAATAGCTTCACTAAAAGTATAACAAATTTGAGAGGTGTGCAAGCGGCTGGATGTTCCAGCCAAACTTAGCCAAACCTAAAAGCTTAAGTGATCAAGCACCATATGACAAAATCGAGCTTGAGCCGAGCTTTTACTATTGGGATCACATAACGTATCTGTCAAGATTCAAAATCGCAAATTCAAGTAATCTTTGAACAGCTGTCATTTTTTTACTCAATTGCCCCTTTGAGTATGGGTTGGCGGCATTTTATTTTACAAACAAAAACCTGTAATTTTATGTGCATATAACAATCTATGCTCACATTTAAGATTTTCTTCTGACTCCTAGCGGAGCTATCTCCCTGAGGAGGTGGCTTATCACTGAGTTACGTGTTAATAATAGTTTACGCAACAATCGCGTGAAATATAGTGTTAATGACACGAGTAGACATTTAACAACTTCTACAAGCGTCGGTTAGACTATTTACTCTAGTTCCTTACACTACTTTACCTACGACCGTTTTAGCGAATTTCCCATATAGGGAATAAGCTATTACCGTAGTACTCATGGTGAGACCTGGACCCAGGACCGATTTACTTTTTCGTTTTGAGGTCCCTAGAGACCAAAAACACCATCCGTTTAAATTCAATATATATATTTATATATGTGTCCGTTAGCGCGATAACTCGAGCAAAAATCATCCGATTTTGATACAAACGTGTAAACCTACGTTTATTTGAACGAGTTCGCGAACCAGCATGATCGGACTATGGGAACAGGGGTTTTTGGGGGTTTTATAGGGCAAAAATTGTTTTTCCCCATTTTTGACCCTATAAACTTAAAATTTAGCATTTTCTTTCCAAACCATTTTGGAGAGCTTAAAAAAACAAATAATTTAGTATATTGAAGCGTTATTATGCGCCTAATGGTTACGGAGAAAATTCCAAAAAACTGTAAATTTAAAATTCCCATGTTATTCTTATGGATTTATCAGATTTACTGTACTGTTATTGAGAATAACTGCAAACTGTTGTAGTTTGCTTGTTTATGATCATATTTTGATCAAATTTGGAAAATGCATTCATTTCATACTAAACTACTAATATTTTACAAATAACACCTTTTTACCCTCCCTGTTTTAGCAAACCTAAGTACTCATTAAACTAATGTTTATTTAAATAGGGATTAAATGGGTTACTTTTAAGGAGACATTTTAGTGTAAATCCAATCAGGCAAATGGAAATTCGCTTAGTCTGCAGGTTTGCTGCGGCGGGGGTATTTTAATTACTAACAATCACTACTCATAACTTCTAAGAGAGTTTATGTTTTCCTTTATGCCACTGACAGTGGTGCAATGAAACATTGTTCCAAACACTCATTGCACCACTCATTAACAATTAAATTGGTCTTAACAAATGATTATTTGAAGTTCAAAGCATTACAATTTTACTTATTTTCTCTCAATCCTTGAACCTCATTGGTCCGTTACTCATGTTGTTAAGTAAAACAATGCTGTTAAGTAAGTTAACAATGCTGTTAAGTGAACTTTTCAAATGCTAAGAACTGAACCGAAACGGCCATTTTAAAAACGATTGTAGGTAAAATTATTTTAGTGCCCAGTACCTTTGAGCCAAGTTTTTCAGCTTTAACTGTATTATCTTTTGAAATTTTTAACCGTCCCGGGTCTTTTTTCTCACCTTGTATAAAAAAGCTCAGCTCGATCGACAATCTCAGACTCAAACACATCTATTCTTGTGACAATAACTCTTTGGAATTAGAATTTGGGAGACTGTCCTACCTCTTACTGTCAGTAAAAATCTCAAATTTAATTTCTTTCTTTTGATATTTTTGGAAAAAAGACATCCCTAATCTCTATTAGATTGTTCAATTGATACGTTTTCTAGGCACAGATAAGCGCAAAGATTCAACCGCAGAACACAAGCGAGTTGTGGCGACATTGCCTGAGGTGCGGATACTGCCTCAGAGCTCTACTCCCCCTGCTACTCCTCTACCCGTGGTGAACTACAGCCTCGGACACATGGGAGCGGGGGGCACTGCTATAGCAGCAGCTGCTTCCCAGGCCATAGCAGCCACACAGCAGGTAATATTACTAGGTTAGCAAAAGGATAACTAGAATACAGTAGAACCCGAGTTATCCTTCCTCGAATCATCTGGATCGCTAACTATTCAAATAACCTCAAAGAGAAAAATAAAACTTAAAAATCAACCAGAAAAACTTATTGTAGATTTGTGAACTTTGCAATAATCTGTTTCATATTTTAATGTGTGCCAATTGTGTCCATCACGCGCTGAGTCTATTGTAGTGTTATCGATCGGCAGGGAATTAAGTAATTTGTTTATCCCGTCAGTGACTGCTGTTCATGAGATTTGGTTTGTTGTTGTTGTTGACTGCTGTGTTCAGTGTGGCTGTCACTCAGCAGGTAATATTAGTTATTAGGTAATCTTAGTATTAGGCAGTTTTTTTGTTGTTTATTTATACTCTGATTTCAAAATGTATATTATTAAATTTGGTACTCTCTGATCTTTTTAAATAACCTTGTCTAGAAATATCCAAACTGTCCGGCTTTATGATCATCAGGTTGGGATCCGGTCCAAATTAATCCAGATGTTTAGAGTTCTACTGTAGTCTGATTAGACCCAAAAGTAAACAAATGGTTAGGTGAAGGTAAGGTACTTCACTATTTTAGAATAGTAGTGGAGATTAAACATAATGTCTTCATTTTTCAGGAACAAAGGATCCAAACATTTTTTTAATACAAATTCTATGTCAATTGATTTTATTTCACTTACATCAGCTATCAGCTGGGAAAGTTATCCGTAAGGCCTACTTAGATCCGAGTTCAACTTTAATTATTAAGACTTCAAAGTTTTGCCAGTCTTAAAACATACAAAACTATGTAAAAAAAAACTTACAATAATATCTGAAATAAAACAAAAATTATGACTGATATAATTAGATAAACTAAAATGTAATGAGATTAACACAAAACAAGTAAACTCCTACATGTTAAGACCCATCACACACTCTGTCGTTTTTAATTACTTTGAGTAAAATGGCCCCAGATTTGCACCGAGGGTGTGTCGTAACATTTGTGTGGGCCGCAGATTCAGTAGAATGAACTTTAAAATCAGAGGACTTGTGCAGTTTCAATATACATTTGGGTCAAATGGGAGTATGCCTAGATATGAAAAAAAATCAAGCGCAAACATTATTCTAACAAATTGTGTTTGAGGAAATGATTCGGTATACCTTAACAATAATGGTAAAGTCCATTGATAGCTTGTAAAATGTACGCTACCTATTTATAAAATAATTGTATTAATAATAATATTAATAATACTATTATACTATTCATAATACTAATAATATTTTTAGTCACATCTCTTTTTGAAATTGAAAAACCACGAACATTATTTGTGGCTAAATATTTTTGTTGGGTTGTAGATGCAACAGGGGCGAAGGACTGCCAGCTTGAAAGCTTCGTATGAAGCCATTAATTCTGTCAGTATAAGCAAGGAGCTAGCTGGTGCAGCTCAAACTGCCATTGCCGCCATTCAAGACACAAGCAAGAAGAACAAAAAGCAGTAAGTATCATGTGTATTGAATCCATCCTATAATTTTGAATTGGATTTGTATTATTCATGCAGAAAACATTTACTCTTTTTCTTGGGTGTGTTGCTAAGTTGATGTCTCTGACTTCAGTGTAAGAGGGACGTCAATCGCCATCCATTTAAACCATCAAACCTCCCTTTAAACATTTGAAGGGTTTGATTGCTTTCCCTTAAAAGGGGTTGTGGTTCTTTCATACAGAATGCTACTGGCGTAGACATAACAAAAGAAATTATACTTGGGTGGAACTGATGTATTTGAGAGTGCTGGCATTGCCTATATGTAATCTGAGGTTTTAGCTATAAGGAAACATCAGCAGCGTAACTATTTTCTTCTTTTCATCCCAATTGCAGTTATAATAGAAATAAGTTGAGTCCATACAGTGTTTTGTTGTTGGACTATGACATTTGATCAGGAAAAGTCTGGAACTTGAAATATTAAACCTGGTAGATTGTGTCCATTCAACTGTATACACACTTGCTGAACACCCTGTGGACTGGGAGAATTGTATGGAATCTACAATAATTCTTCCTGTCCCGGTGCTTCAACCTCCCTTATGCATTAACGGAATTTTCACGCCTTACCTTATCTATTTTTTTGTTTGCTCGGACAGCAAGGGTGACAAGCAAATTAAGGCATTTAAAAAGAAGTTTTTTTTTTAAGTAAGTTAAAAGAAAGTAGGGGTTGCGGTGCAAAAAATTTAAGGGCAGTTCTCAGTACGGTACGCGGCTACCAGTATTTTTTACGTTTTGTTCTCAGAATTATATTTAAACCATTATTTTATATTTTAACATTGACATTACTATGAAAATGGATAGTATCCCACATTATTTATTCCTAACAACATTGTGCCAAGAAAGAAACACAATTTACACCATATAAACAGGCTTTACCTATTTTACTACTAAGATAAGTCATAAGATAAAGTGGATTTAAAATTAGGTTAAGAATATTTAGGTTGAAGCAACAATTTTAGAAGATAATTTCACACAACTGGTAAATTATTGCCAACCAACACAATAACTGGTTGTTGTTGTTTCTTTTTTTTTTACTTTTAAAACATATTAATGCATTCACATTCAACAGACAACAATGAAATACTAGAGGTTATGATGAAGTAAAGCCAAAGAGCATCTTTCTTATCAGCTTCAAAACCGGACCTGTATAATATGTGTACAATTCTAAATCTTTTTTCTGAAACTCAAAATTGGATTTGCACAGATTAAGATTATTGTCTTTTCGGTTTCAAAGTTAACATCAACTCATATCAATCAAAAGTTTATCGCAGGCTCAATTCAATTTTCTTAGTACAGTAGAACCCTGGTTAACCGAAATAAAGGGGGGAGAGTCGTTTCGGATAACCAATTTTTCAGTTAACCCATGCTAAAAATGTATCACCACAGTGTGTAGGGAAAATGAATTTAAGAGAATGTCTATATAATTCAGTGTTTCAAAAATGTTACAATGGGATAGAAAATACTTTACACCAGACAACTGAAGTTATTAAAGCATTCTACGCCCTATATTATTTTATAGAACCATTTTGGTTAACCCGGGTTTCGGTTAACCCGAATTCGGTTAACATGGGTTATTCTTTATATTTTAAAGCTCTTCCAAAGAATCAAAAGACGAAGGCCTGAACCAAATTATTTAGGAGGGCCTATAAAAAGTGAGTAACAAACAATGATATTAGCGATGAAGGTCGCAAAATGATTATCATCATTTTAGTTCATAAGATTTTGAATGCATAAAGTACCTACATCACAATAAAAAATATAGGAAACAAAAACATTTAAATTTCAACAGCCAAGAATAACAAAGATACAGAATATGCAATGACATGATTTGAGACCAAGTAGGCTTAAATTGAATTACGGAAAAAAATTGTATACAAACAACAACGCTTGTGGTTTTGTCAATTGAATGATAAAATATCCATAAGCAATATTTTAACTTTTAAAATAAGACTGTATAGTTTAATATGAAACCATAAGGAGTTTTATGGCAGTAGAAATGGCCAGCGGCAAATTGAATGTTAACAAAAATACTGACCAAGGTAGAGAGGTGAAATTTAAACAGCTATTATAACGCTAGTAATAAAAAATGGAAGTCCCAAAGGAATAAAAGTGATAAAACTCACGAGTTCTTGGAATTCCTTGATTTGACCTTGAGTACAACAATTATTGTATTGATAAAATAATAATAGATCCGGGACTGCTAATGAGTTGTTTATTGCATCATTACCCAAGTAATAAATTATGAAAATCGTAAACAAGCATCTAATAAACCTTAAGTGCTCTGAACCAACTGCCGGCTATGTAAATTGAAAGAAATTTATTATTATAGGCTGAACCGAATTTGTACCGAGTAAAATGCTATACCGAATCGATAGCGGTAATTAGGCCAGAACCATACTGTACCGACTTTTGCGGTGCGCCGCAGACTCCTAAAAGAAATACATTTGCCCATCCACATAGGCCTCAGACTGTTGAGTTATGATTTGTCAAGTCACTGACTGAGCAGTTGATTCACCAAACCAAATCCAAATGCTGCGCTCTTTGTACAGCGTCCAAAGTAACTTCCAAGCCATTCCTAACCTATCATATTCAATGACCACAGGAAAGCAAACGTGAGCAGTAGCAGCAGCAGCCCTGCTTTACCAGTCCTGGTGCCGAGTCCTGAGGAACCTCCGCAGCTTGAAGCCTCAGCAGACCTCTCGTACGACCCCAACGAGCCCAGATACTGCATCTGCAATGAAGTTGCTTTTGGAGGGATGGTGGCTTGCGACAATCAAACGGTACCACAACTTTATTTTTACAGTTAGTCCTTGCTATTGCTAGTAAATGTACGCTCCAACAAGAAGGCAATTAAAGCGACCACTATTTATTTGTAGACTCCAGCCCCTGAATAATCGACTACATTACCTCTTGTAACTCCAATAAAACTGTGTGGTTATGTCAATTGCATTTAATTAAATAAACAAAGTGATTAGTTAACAGGAAGTTAATTTGATTGTTTTTACGAACATCAACTTACTATATAGAAGTTTGATTCTTTGCAAAATTGCCCAGAACCTAACCATGAATAGTCAGGACTAATTGGAGTGGTTTTTGGAATATGTTTTAAATTATTTCGTGACAAATTTCACTGACAAACATTTAAAAATTAAGTCTATGTTTTAAAGATAAGCAAAATATTTATTTTTACAATTTCTAAAGTTATAAATGTAGATTTTTCTTCCATTAGCATTATATCATGTAGTTCTTGTTTCAAAATGTAACAGTGAATCTCCAATTTCAAATTGTATAGCGCTAAGCTCATTCTGAAGTTTTTAAAATGTTGTTTGGATTCTTAATTAAGTTTAAATTTAAAACCTCCAATAACATAAATAATAACTTATGCATATTTTTTTAAATTGGATGCCATTTATAATTTTCTATTTTTCACCGGGGGGATTTAATAGTTGTACAATATCTATGCTTACTTCCTCTCCAAAATAATTATGGGTTTTAAAAACAAACACTATAGTGGTGTATTTTTTATTGTGTTATTGATTAGTTTTTGTTTTACCTTAACTATGCATCCCTCTAATGTTTTTGAAACTCCCCGAATCATCTTATCTTGGAGTCATTTATCCATATTTTTAGAACCATAGTATTTCTGATTGTACAGCTATAATCCATGCAAATATGAAGTCAGAAACAGATTCTTTCCTCAACAGGACTACGAGGCACTCTTTTAACCCATACAACTATAAATCTTAACTGATTTCTACTATACAATTAAATTAATTTGTTGAACAATTTAACTAAGGATGTAAAATTTAAAATAATTAATTTTATGCATTACCTATTCTTATTTTTTATTCTAGTGTCCCTATGAGTGGTTTCACTACCCATGTGTTGGAATCACTGATCCACCCAAAGGCAAGTGGTACTGCCCTCAATGTACGGCTGCTATGAAGAGGAGAGGTGCTCGTAAAAACTGATTCTCTGGGCTAGGCCAAACCAAGAACATGCCAAGAATTACTGTTAATGTACTTTTACTTTTATTTTAGTGAGAAACAACACAAACGTTTCAATTCTCTCTTAACCCTTTCCGGATGGGCAAAAAATGTTTAAATGAAAAGAGTGATTTCAATTTGTGACACTTTTTTACGCATCTCCACTTTTAAATCAAGCATACAGTACACTTCCAATTAAACCGAGGTTGTTGGGACTGAGAATCTAAAATACCACGCAGGTCACGGGACCACATTAGGAAGTCTAATACTAGTAAAATATGTTTTAACAACATCTGTGTCTTGGTGCGCGGTCGTCTTACCATTACAGTGACTGGAGGAATCGCATACCGACGTACTTATTCGTACTTATATTACCCTTAATCATTAGTAATGACATTGAAATTGCTACTGCATCATGCCAGATATATGTGTTGTGCCTGGGTGCAAGGGTAATTACGAAAGCTTGATTAAAAAAAACTGAAGGTTACACACAGTTTTTAAGATTCCAAGTGATCCGGTGCGTAAGCAACCGTGGATTCGTGCTTTTCCTCGGTCAGATTGGACACCTTCAAAAAATTCTCGTGTCTGCGTGAAACATTTTCACGAAGATGACCTTAGTTTTGTGGTAAAATACAAGAATAAGGTGATTGATGTGAATATAGACGCGAGAAGCCAGTTTTAGGTGAGAATGCCGTACCTAGACTTTTTCCCAAATTACCTTTGTATCTTGATACTCGAAAAACGACAAAGAGAAAGACTCCTCAAGAAAGAAGACAAGAGGAAGGTAACAGGATAAAGAAGAGTCAACAGGATTAAGAAGATCGACTAGCACAAGAAAACGAAGTTGGGGATTTTACTTCATTTTACAACAATTAAGGCTGTATATTAGCACATAATAAATAAATAAAAAATAATATTAAATTGACGTGTATTATTATCGTCATTTTGCACATTATAATGAATGTGGAAAGCCATATGAAGGCCTAGCTTCTGAGATTGTTTCCACAATGGCAAACGTACAATGGCTAAATAATTATTCAAAGAGGCCTTCAAACGAGAAAAGAAAACTTAAAATGTTGTCGTAATATTTACTTATGGTTTGTCAGGTAGGCTAAAACAATAATATGAATATTTAAAATTGAAAATAATTTTATTTAAACAATACAAGATTTTATATTACTCTTTCATTTGTAATTGGAAGTTTTACAAGACATTTTCACATTCATTGCAATTATTAGTACAATACGATAAATAGCCCAGGCCTACAAGCAAACAAACATTATGTTTGTATTTTAGTACAAAAGTCACTATTATATGCCACTAAAAAATCTTTAATTCATTCTATAGAGCAGTGAAAACAGCAAAACTCTCATTTAGGTTATAGCCTAGCGCGTGTGAAGACAGACCCAGAAGGAGTGTGATTGCGGCGTTGCCAGTTCGAACGTCGCAGCCTTGTATTAGAGGTGGCTGTAGTTGGAGACCAACCTAGTACTGTGTGGTTTTGATTTGATAGGTAATTGCAGATCATTCTTACGTTAAAATTATACTTAATGGTTATTTCAAGCATTCATTTAAATAAATCCCAAATTACCTGCTATTCCAACTCTTGACATAGAAAAATACTACATTAAAGTAATTACCGTTTCCAAAAATATAAAAAAATATATATATATTCAGCCCTGTAACGACCTTGGATAACCTGGATTAATCTTCAGATAATCGGGAGTGTACTGTATAAAGCAGCTTTGCTACTTATTGGACAGTATTTTATTTCATAAAGAACTTTAAATGGAACTTTTTTACAACGTTTGTAGCTCTAAAAGATGTTCACATTAACAAAATTGTTTAAATCCATATGTGTAGCCCCTGAGCTGTTGGACATAATGTAAGACCAAATTACTTACGTAATTCCCGTCACAGCTCAATAAAATATATCTATTCAGGACATGTTTCGGTGTTAAAACACCATCGTCAGCTCCAGGTACATAGTGTAGAGTTGATCAGTTGTTAACATCGTCAGAAGATAAACACAGTACGGACACGAATAAATACATAAAACAATTAAACATTTAAAAAACAGGCCTGTTCTAACAAAGATGACCGACCGCACAGGTAGCAAGGGACAGACTAGACCAGCTTATGCTTATCAGTTGTGTGAGAGAGAAAGAGATATTGGGCAAGGATCAGCTGTTGTAGGATGGACGGAGTTATTGATGAGTGAATTAAAAATGGTGTGGGAACTGAACTGTAGTTTTTCGTTTTATATAGTCTCACAAAAAGTAAAGTTAACGTTGTTAAAACTTTTGTATATTTAACAACGAAATTTATTTAAAAACAAAATTGTGTTTTTAGCGCAGTAAGTGGTCGGCTTATATCTAACAATCTAAAACACAGCAATTCTGCAGAACTCAAAAACAGTATCTCAACAGTACTGTAATGTGAAACAAGTCAAATCACATGATCCACTACCATGCAGTTATCTGTCACTCCTCCGGTAAGAGTTGTTTAAGTAGCCACGAGGTGCCTACGTAGCTGAACTTAAAATTTAATGGTAGTAGATTTAGGTGCCTATCTTTTCTATTGTTAGAGTAAAGTTGTCTAAGAATATGAAATAGACCAAACCAGTCCTGTTTTGCTTTTTTTTGTACATATGTTACCCTGTTACAGAAAACCTGTTAATTAAGTAAATGTCTAGCTGGCTTGGTTAATGTTTGTTTATCCAAACAAGTTCATTGTGAAAGATGTTTTTCATTTTCATTAGCTGAAATAACAGAAGTAAGAAACAGATAATTATCCCAATAAACCCTTTACCCTCCTTTAACTCTTAACACATTAGTTCAATGGCTTTGTGGGTTTGTTGTTTCCAGAAAATTAGAATTCTGAAAGAAATCCCCAAAATTGTCTGTTTCATCTGATTTTAACAAACTTATTAAAAAAGATCTTGCTTATTATGATGCCTATGGACTCACATTTGGGTTAATACGCATAAAACAATTCAAACAAACCTTTTGCTTTTCTGTGCTTTAGGGATCTCTAAAATTGAAAAATAACATCAGGGACCCAAGTTTTACCATGAGTAAGTTACCTACTTAAGTTGTTTTTTATTCATAATAGTAGTGTAGGGTAGGGGCTAATGGTTGTAAAGAAAACAGGCAGTAAGTTGCACCTGCAGTATACACCGTTTTGAATTTAACTCTGCTTTGGAGGACCTTACAACAATTAAATTACTCTAACTAAACATATACTGTGAACCATTCTTAAGCCTTTTCCAAACCTGTTTCTCATCAATCATTTCACATTTTTGAAAAGGAGTTGTAAATCAAAAGTATATATAAGATAAGGAGTTAGTTAAATATCCATAAGTATTTAGTTACACCACCATATAAGTGTTTTAATCTAAGAACATATATCGTTTTGACTGTTAAGTTTGTATAGAATATAAAGTTTGTGAATACAAATCATATGACTTGTTATATGGCCTTTCCCTTAATCCTCAAAATAATTAGTGATAAGGTTTTTAAAGGAAGATTAGAATTACAGGACGATGCATTAATTTTATTATATTGCCTGCCATAACTTTCCATAGCTGTGGAATATGCTTGGAAAATCAAATTGATCCATCTAAATTTACTGTGACTTACATTGCATAGAATCATGATGAAAAAGAGTCTTGACACAATTTCTGTGTTTTGTTGCCATTGTTGGTGAAGCCCATGATGGCGATTTATATCCTCCGGAAAAACTAGAGCACTAACCAAAATCTGACAAATCAGACAAACTGTTGTGAATGTCTGACAATTTGAATATGGCCTAAATTACTTTGTAAGTAATATGATATCGGACACATTTTTCTCAAGTTTTACTACACATGTCATCCATCAAATATAAATCAGCTGTTTTTGAGAAAGATGTTTCCTGAAATGTTTAAGTATCAAGTTGTTAAATAACTTCTTGATCAGCATCGTACGTGTTATTACATGCCTGAAAGTTCAAAAATACGTCGAATAACACTTGTAATAATATATTTACACTTGTACTGTTTACTCACAAGATGGTAAATACATATAAAAAATGTCAACGGGTGATTGATATCAATTGGACACTCTAATCATCATCACACCCAATGTCGCAATTGTAATTTCTTGACAAAACTGCAAATAAAGAATATTTTGACTTGATTTGATAGTATCACAAGTGTCATTAGTGTAAGTGTAAATATACTATTGTTGTGTTATTTGATGAATTTTGTACTTTCAGATAAGTTGTTAACAATATATTAATCAATCAATAATCTTAATTTGTCTTTGTACATAAATACAAGAAATGGCATCATATCTACATAATATAAGAATAGCTACTTATAGCATCTACACAGTTTTTAGGATCACCAGCCCCAGACAAACATACACCGCTCCTAATGCAAACTCACAGTCAAGTAAGAAGTCCTGAAGAGAGTATATATTTTTCCTTTTAAAATGGATTTCAGTTTTGATATTTTTACCGGTATGATATTTTTACTTGTCTATGGTCCAGGAATATCACCTAAAACAGTTGGTAGAGAGAGAGAGAGAGTTCTGGGACACCCTGAGACCTCTGGGACATCAAAACGAAAAGTAAATATGTCTCGGGTCCAGGTCTTACCATAGATTGATGGAACAGACTGTCTACTCCTTTAAACTATGTCTTGCCATGAGACCTACGGTAATAGCTTATCCCCTACATGGGAAATTTCCTAAAAGAAATTAGATATGTACAATCATGTACGATCAAATTTAAGAACTGGTGTTCTTATCCTTGCTTAAAAACACGGTATGAACTTAGAATACCGTACAAATAACTTTAAAAGCTGCTTCAAAAACACAATTAATTAGCATAGATTGTAGAATTTTAGATATATGATTATAAAAGACATCGCCATTGAATAGGGAAGAATGGTGGTTTGTTTATTTTGTACAGTTCGCGTAGTAGACAAAACACAAATGAATGGTTTCACAAGTAACTTCAGAAAACCCCCCCCCCCCTCTCACCACACTCCACAGCAAACCTGCAGTCTAGGTTAATTCCCATTTGCTTGATTGTATATTCACTAAAATGTCTCCTTTAAAATTTCAGATTTATTCTCTGTTAAGATGACATTAGTTAACAAGTACTTAGGTTTACTGCTATAGTAAAGGTAACAAGTGTTCCATAGTGAAATGCAAATCGTTTAGTATGAAATAAATTTTCCGCCTAGTAACCGACAAAGTTGGGCTTCCTTGCACTGATTATAATACAGGAAGCTGAAAATGCATATGGATATTGCTTGTATATTTGATATACATTGATGTTTTAATTAAGTAAGCGAACAACTGGTTTTGTGACCCTAGGGCCGTAAAAACCAAATTAAACTTCATGTGGTCAAAAAGTATTTATTTTTTTTTCAAATATAAACTAAGTCTAACAAGTCTAAATAGAGAGTTTATCAAAAAACACTGCAAGTTATTTTTTGGATTTTAATTAAAATAGAAAATGGCTACCATCTCACAAACTTTAAAATACTTATTATTGAAATACAGAACTTGAGTTGAATATAAGAAATAACAACTTCCAATTTATATCTTTTTATAGTAATATCTTAAGTCTTCATTCTGTGTCCTTACATTGGTTTCCTTTTACTTTTAACCATTGCAAAATCATCTATCTCATCATTGCCCTTTTTACTGTCGTTTTCCGTCACCGCCGTGCCGTTGCGTCCACGCATACAGTCAGCGGACTGTGGCAGCGGCGGCACTCGTAACCGGCAGCACTCGTAAGCGGCGGCACTCGTAAGCGGCGGCACCAGTAAGCGTCGGCACTCGCAAGCGTCGGCACTCGCAAGCGGCGGCACCCGCGTAAGCCTCGGCACTCGCAAGCGGCGGCACCCGTAAGCCTCGGCACTCGCAAGCGGCGGCACCCGTAAGCCTCGGCACTCGCAAGCTGCGGCACCCGTAAGCCTCGGCACTCGCAAGCGGCGGCACTCGTAAGTGGGGGCACTCGAAAGCGGCGGAACCCGTAAGCGGTGCCACTCGCAAGCGGCGTCACTCGTAAGCGGGGGCACCTGTACGCAGCGGCACTCGCAAGCGGCGGCACCCGTAAGCGGCGGCACTCGTAAGCGGCGGCACTCGCAAGCGGCGGCACCCGTAAGCGTCGGCACCCGTAAGCGTCGGCACTCGCAAGCGGCGGCACTCGCAAGCGGCGGCACCCGTAAGCGTCGGCACTCGCAAGCGGCGGCACTCGCAAGCGGTGGCACTCGCAAGCGGCGGCACCCGTAAGCGTCGGCACTCGCAAGCGGCGGCACCCGTAAGCCTCGGCACTCGCAAGCGGCGGCACTCGTAAGTGGGGGCACTCGTAAGCGGCGGCACCCGTAAGCCTCGGCACACGCAAGCGGCGGCACCCGTAAGCCTCGGCACTCGCAAGCGGCGGCACTCGTAAGTGGGGGCACTCGTAAGCGGCGGCACCCGTAAGCGGTGCCACTCGCAAGCGGCGTCACTCGTAAGCGGGGGCACCTGTACGCAGCGGCACTCGCAAGCGGCGGCACCCGTAAGCGGCGGCACTCGTAAGCGGCGGCACTCGCAAGCGGCGGCACCCGTAAGCGTCGGCACCCGTAAGCGTCGGCACTCGCAAGCGGCGGCACTCGCAAGCGGCGGCACCCGTAAGCGTCGGCACTCGCAAGCGGCGGCACTCGCAAGCGGCGGCACTCGCAAGCGGCGGCACCCGTAAGCGTCGGCACCCGTAAGCGTCGGCACTCGCAAGCGGCGGCACTCGCAAGCGGCGGCACCCGTAAGCGTCGGTACTCGTAAGCGGCGGCTCCCGTAAGCGGCGGCACCCGTAAGCGGTGACACCCGTAAGCGGTGGCTCCCGTAAGCAGTGGCACTCGTAAGCGGCAGCACTCGTAAGTGGCGGCACCCGAGGGCCTGCCGCCCCTAGGCACTGGTCTAGTGTGCCTAGTGGGAAATCCGTCCCTGCATTTACTCATAAATGCATTTACTTTGTCACCCAGTTTTTACTTTGGCGCGCAAATTAGTATTCCAACCAAACAACACAAAACAGTGAGCTTTTGCACGTAATCCGTGTACGCTTGAAAATCAAAATAAGCTGGCAACACTTATTACGTTTACGATCAGCTGGTGCAGCGTTTCCAATTTCGTTTCGTTCAATGTTTGGATTTAACCTAACCTAAAAACATGTTGTACAGTGTTTGAAAGATTAATTATTTATATGATTTATTAGTAACTGTAGGAAAAATATAATGTGTAACACGAGTTCAAATAACTGCCTTTGCTGCACTCGAGAAACATTCCACACTCGCCTATGGCTCGTGCGTAATAATTTCTCTCGTTTGCTACTTCACCCATTAGTTACACAAATAACTATCCCACATTTGATAAAAATATGTTTATAAACAAGCAAACTACAACAGTTGATTGTAAAGAAATCTATAAAATCTTTGATCCCTAGTAGACAACTCAATGCTTCATTTCCTTCGGATCATAACATAACTGTACCTACTCTCGGGGAAAAGGCACAAGATGACAGATGTTTGTTTACGACAGCATCCGGCCCCGTAGTGCTGACTGTGCTGAGTCGCTGAGTCTCGAGTCACGTAGTCTAATATCCGCTCGTGTGTGTCTGTGTGGGCGTCACTGTCACAGATGTGTGAAGTCTGATAGATATCACTGCATGTGTTTGTATAAGCACAATGCCCAACAGAAAACAAAACATGTGTCAAGTATGACCGTAAAATACTAGGTATTATTACAAACAAGACTCTACCGATGCTTTACACTCTCTTATGTGTGGTGTGGGAGGTCTATGAACAAAAGAACAAATTACGTTCTTGAATTTATATTACATACGTAATTTGTCCTGCATTGATGGCTACATCGAATGTTATGCGCAGTTGAATGAACCCCCAAAAATATTTAGATTTATCAACTTAATTACTTTCATCAAGAGAACAAATTAAAGTACTGTATCTCCTATTTATTTTCAAAAACAACAGCAAAGGAAAATTACCCGTACAATCTTTTCAAAAGTAGAGACTTGTAATCCCCACAAAATAACTTTGTTTACAACAGAAGCTTATATAAAACTTTTGAAAAGCGGGATTTAGGCCTACATTGAAAAGTTTAAACACAATATTATTTACTATATCTATATAAGAAATGACGGTTTAAAAAGATTACTGATTCTAAAAAAGGCTAAATTTGAATGCCCATAATTAAAACTTACAATTAAATTACATATTTAATTACTTTAATATTACACTGCTATGGAGCGCATTTCATAAAGAAATAATTTGTGTCAAGTATTTTGTAAAACACTTAAATATAACCTAAATTTTGAGAAACAACGAAATCTGTTGAAACAATATCCGTTTGCTAGAATAGACATTTCTAAAACAGAAGAGAATTAAAAATTGTATCGGCTATG